CTTCATCCAGACTCTTGATGTTATTTCCACCGGGCATCTTGATTCCTTCAGTTTTCACTGTTTTTCCGTTGATGTAAGGGTGGCACATTTGTCCAGTCCAAACTCCATTGCAATATCTTGGCTGTATATTTGGACAGTGTTGAGCAGCAGTTATATTTCAGATGGTGTTTTTCCGTAGAGCTTCAGATTGCCCATCTAATGGAGGTGGGATAGCCTGACAGATATTTTTGATGTTTGATAGCCATGGCCTGACTTGTTCTGTATTGTTGACAGAGGGATCAATGCAATGACAAACAGTAGTGGTGATAGTGAGTCTCCTTAAAAGATTCCTCTCTTGATGTTAACCTCTTCCAGTCTATCACCATTGACTAGCAACTGTATCTTCCATTGTGCCATTGAACTTTGCACAAAGCTTCTGATGTTTCTGCTGACTCCTGTTATTTCTAGGCACTTGATTATCCAAACATGTGGCAGGGAGTCGAATGCCTTCTTGTAATTAATCCAAGCTACACTCAAGCTGGTCTTCCTTCTCTTGCAGTTTTCCAAAATCATCTTGTCAATTAGGAGCTGATCTTTGTTCCTCTGCTGTTTGGGTGGTTTCCTTTCTGCTCAAACGGAAAGAGCTTGTTTTCACCTAGATGCTGTTGGACTATATCAGCTACCACACCAGTTAGCAATTTGAAAGTTGTTGGTAAGCAGGTAAACCTCTGGCATAACTCTCATCCTCCTCAGAGCATGCAAGCCCCACCACCATGTCAAGGTAGTGTCTTAGTGGGGGTTGGTATTATTATTATTATTATTATTATTATTAGTGGGGGTTGGTATTATTATTATTATTATTATTACTACTACTACTACTACTACTACTACTACTACTACTATTATTTACTTTTATATGCAAGTCCCAGAAACTCTGGGCAATTTATAATTTAAAACATGAAAACAAGACAATAAAAACAACAAGAAGCAAAAAAGGACAGAGATGGCAGAATTACAAACTGGGTGGAAACAAAAGAAAACAACCTAGGTTAAAAGAAGGCTCCACCCAAAGGTCTGGGTGAAGAGCCAGGTCTTCAGACCACTTTCAAACCACAGCAGGGTGGGGGCCATTTGAATCTTGGGGGAACCTCATTCCAGAGAACAGGTGCTGCAACAGAGAAAGTGCACTTCTGGGGTTCCAATAGATAGCATTGCTTAATTGAAGGAATCTGGAGTGTGCCCACCCTGCCAGATTGAATTGGCCAGGCAAATGTTGTGGGATATAGGCAGTCTCTCAAGTAACCAGGCCATATGCCACATAGGGCTTCACAGGTAACAACCAGCACCTTGAATCTCACCCAGAAACAAATTGGCAACTAGTGCAGCTCGTGAAGCAGAGATATTACATGGGCATACAGAGGCATGCCTATCACTGTTTGCACCACTGCATTCTGGATCAATTGATGCCTCTGAGTGGTCTTCAAGAGCAGCCCCATGTAGACCGTGTTGCAGTAGTCAAGCCATGAGGTGACCAGGGCATGAGTGGCTATTTGAAGCCCCCCACCCCCCAATCTAGGAAAGGGTGTAACTGATACACAGATGGACCTGTGCAAAGGCCTTCCTGGCTGCAGCTCCCACTGCTCATTGAACAGGAGCTGTGAGTCCAGGAAGACCCCCAAATTGCGTACCAACCCTTGAATGGGGAACACCACCCCATCCAAGGTCAGAGATGAAATATCCCCAAATCTGGATGGCCCAAATACCCACAGTCACTTGGTCTTGGTAGGACTGAGTCACAGACAATTTCTCCTCATCCAAACCTGCATAGCCTCCAGGCACTGGGACAGAACCTCAACAGCATTGCATGGCCAGCCCAGGGTTGAAAGATATAGTTGGATATCATCAGCATACCCCACACAGGAGGGGCCTAGGGACTGATCTCTTCCCATGAACCAACAGTGACTAGAACCAGCCCTGGAGAAAGGAAAAGGGCCACTGTAAAAGAGTGACCCCAATCCCCAACCAACAGAATCAGCTCAGAAGGATACCATGGTTGATGATATCAAAAGCTGCCAAGCGATCAAGGAGCACAAGGATGGATGCACCACCATCATCCTGGTTCCACCACAGGTCATCTACAAGCATGACCAGACCTGTCTCAGTACTAAATCCTGGCCTGAATCCCTGATGAATTTGGTCTACATAATCTGTTTCCTCCAGGGTTCTCATCAGCTGCAGACTGATCACCTTCTCAACAACCTTCCCCAGAAAGGAAAGGTTGGAGGTTGATTGATAGTTATTGAAAACCACTGGGTCCAAGGATGGCCTTTTGAGGAGGATGTGTATCACTCGCTCTTTCAAGGCTGGGGGAACCACACCCTCCATCAAATAGGCTGATACTACAGCATGGACACAACCATTGGTCACCTCCCTGGCTGCTTTCAGGACCCAGGAGGGACCAGGATCCAGTAAACAGGTGGCCGAGCTGATAGCACAGAGAACCCTATCCACTTCCTCAGGAGTCACTGGCTCAAACTCATCCCAGATCATACCACCAGAACATGCCCCAGGCACCTTGGCCTGCCCTACTCAGTCAGAGTCGAAGTAATTCTCAATCTGAAAAAAAAAAAGGCTTATTGAACCAGGATTAATGGTTTATGTCAGTTTACTAGAGAAAATAAACTTTGCTCTCCCTTTCTTCTGGGTTCCATATATTTAACTTATTATAGCCACAATGACACACCTTTATCTTTTAATTGGCAGGGTAGATTAAATCAAGAACATAATCTATGAAGGATAGGATAATAGTAACTTGATAGGAAAATAATGATCATTCATTCAGGGCTATTCTGAGAGATCCGTTCCAGAGCAATGACTGTATCATTGTGATATTCATCAATAACACCATTATTTTCTAAGGTGCAAGTAAATGTTTACACATTTATGCAAATGCTTAATATGCACAGTATATTTCTTGTACTTTGCTGGGGCTTTTTTGTTTCATTTTGAAATTTTCTTCTTCCATACCGGGCAGTTTTATCATATAATTAGTCTGTTGCTGCTTAAAAGAGAGAGGGAGAGAGAGAGAGAGGAAAAAAAACTAATTCTGAAGGTTTCATCCACAGGCATCTGATACAAACCACCATGACAATGACCAAAAAAAAAGACAAAATTTGTATCACGGTGTCATGAAGCAAAAGTATGGCCTTTCATACTTTCAACCTCCTGTTGGATGCAAGTAGGTAAGTTGCAGCATTTGCCCTGTGATCTCACAGCTCACATTTTGTTCCTTGTCCCCCGCCCCACTTGCCTTCCCCTGCAGGTGCCCGCAGTTTAAAATAGTGTCTGCCAATTCCCTCCCTCTGCCCTCACTTCTTCTGACTCCTCCACTGTTATTCACTATACGTGTTTGCCCCTCTCCCAGGTTAACAAAACCAGTTACAAACCTAGTCTCTAAAAGAAGATGGCATAAAAAGTATTCAGTCCCATCCATCTTGTGCCATCTCACACCCAGTCTGGGGTAGGGTTTAAGGTGTTGATCTAGAATCTGGGAGACTCAGGTGCAAGGCCTCCTCAGCAATGGAAGCTTACAAAGTACTAATTTTGGGCAAGGCACACATTCAGCTCAAGCCATATCAGGAGCCCATCAGAACAATCTTGAATTACCTGTACTTTGCACATGAGTGCACCTTCCCCTGTGCCATTTCCAAACTTCCTTCAGAGTGCTGTTTGTTCTTCATTTTCTCTACTTTTAGGATACCTCTCAAGCCACACATCTTTAACCAGGCTTATTAAGTTGTTTTCTTAGACAGATTTATCATTTATATCTTTATTTATATTTTGATTACTTTATATAGTAATTATTTTATTTTATTTAATTCTTGTTATCTCAGAAAAAAAAAGGAATAGAGCTACACACATACACATGCACATACACATACACACACATCCCAGCAGGACAAAGACAAAACTTTCAACTCCTAGTCTACTGAAAGAGATTTAACCATTATTCACTCTACCCAATGTTATGGGTTCATACAAAACACTGTACCATAAACCAAGAATCGAAATGGCACACAGCTTGCATGATTTTCATTCAGTAAAGACCATCTCACTCAAATTTCTGTCTCCCAGCCCTGCTCCTGACAGCTGGTAAAAACAGTGACAAAGTATTACCAACAGTAGTATGCTCGGACTCCTGATTTTTCTTCAGTTGGTGGAAGTTACAAACTTAATCCAGAAAGCAGCATAATACTTTCTTCCTATGTAAGTTTCTAACCTACATTTGTTAAGTTACTGTTTTTCCACAGATGTCCCTATTGTGCCTATAGTCCCACTTTCTATGCGCACATAGTCATAGACATATGGAAATAGGTGATAAATAGGAGTGCAAGTTAGAGTGGGAAAATTACATGAGGATTTAAAGTCAAACATCCTGATCCTCCATGACATTCTGTTGCACTTCAACAAAATTTGAACATGGGGCATTGTGAATAACCACTTCCCTGCCCTGAATTAAATCAATTTGGAGAATCTTGTGGCACTGGTGACCTCTCTTTCTTTAATACCTGAGAATAAGAAAATAATGGGTGCTAAGAAATGCACTGCAGTCTTCCTCCACATTTCCAGATTATTACCTTGTTTTATCATTTATGCATGTTTGTAGCTATTGCATAAACCTACATTGACCTTAGAACAAGTTTCAACATTCCCATTTCCTCTCAAGGCAATAGAACTGACAAAACAGGTTTCAGTGCTTTGACTGCAAGAGAGAAATCAGTTTAGGGTTATTGAGGGCGGGAACGTAACTGAGTCTTATTGCTTGAGGAAGCGTACCTAAAAGCAGCAGCTCCTATAAAGAAGTTGAAGAAACTTTTCTCAGCGTTTCCATAAGGAGGATAACATCAAAACAAGCCATGAAAATTAGAATTTTGAGCTAATTTTCTCCCTAGGAACAGGTGGATGTCTAGAAAAACAGACCACTGTTCATTGTGACTTTCCTTCACCTCAACATCCTCACTGTGGAATTACAGAGGGATTTATAAAAGTCAAGGCAGCATCTCAAGCTCAGAATATCCCTCTGACAAGGCAACATCAAGGATTGTTGTGTTTGTCAACCAGTTCTAGAGGCATGAGCTGGTTCCCCAGAAGCCTTGGGAATTCCCAAGGGACCACAGGGCAGCTCAAAAATCGACTGGAAGATCTGAAAAAGCCCTGGAAGAAAGAAGCCAGCCCTTCCATGCTACAGCATAGTGAAACTGCCAGGCTAGCTGTGGATGCCTTTCTGGAACAGGGAGAAGCTGGCTATCTGCAAGTCATCACTAAGGAAAAGGAGCTACCTTTCCTTTCCTCACTGGACATGGCCTACATAAGCCAGCACATCCAAAGCATCCCAGAATCTCCAAAGAAGGGGCTAGAGGCAGGACTCTCAAGAGGTGACAGCATGGACAGGGAATCTCTCCTCTCTGAAGTCACATCTGGGACATACTTCCCATTTATGTCAGATATTGATCCCCCCCAACTGGAGCTGGGTTGGCCAAAGATGCCCTCTGTCACAACACTCAGCCGAACAGAAGTCAGTTTATATTTCCAAAGAGACAAGGCAAGCAATGTGAAGGAGTTACTCCGATCTCTAATAAGCAAGGCCAAAACAGTAAGTAGAACATTTTAAAGCATCTAAAAAGATAAGATAAAGCTAATCAGTGGGGTTTTTAAATTACAAGAAATTACTCAGAACTACTGGCTCCCATTTTTTTAATTTTTAAAGAATTCTTACTCTGCATATATCTTCAATGTATTACTTGCCAGATTTTTTTTAGAATGCTAGTATGAGTTTTATATTTGACAAATGGTATACACGCAGAAAGAAATGAGCTATGCAGAAGGCTCTAAGTTCTGCAACCTATGTTGGAGCAAGTTTGCAATCACAGAATTGGCTACCTTTTATTGTGAAGGCTGTTCTAAGAATTTTAAGGACAGAACAATGTTTGACAGCCCAATTATTAGGTCGCATATTATTTGTTACAATAAAACCATAGCAGCTATGGAGCAAATGAGTATGAGCACATCCTGGATATTTTATGCAAAGATCAGAGGGATGATATGAAATGGTGGATTTGTTCTCTGTTTTAGAACCAAAATTTCCATATTGTGTTGAACTGTGATGAAAATGCTTATGACTGCATAATTTAGTTATGGCCCTTAGGTGGTAGATAAAAATATTCCATAGACACACCTAGCTATTGAGACTTCACTTTGGCAGCCCTATACTGCAGTCAGCTGAAGCTCAAACAAAGAAGTACTTTGAAGGAGTCAGTCAAACAATAAACATGGAAAACATTACATACAATGTGGCGTTCCCAGGAAATGTCTATGAATTGGCTGTCAGATTTCTTCTGTTTGTTTTGTGGGATAGTTCCTCCAAAATCCAGATAGATTCCCTCCCCACTTGGGAATAATATATGTCTGTGTGTATGTGTATGTATTCATACAGAAATAATCCCAAAATATTCCTGTGTGAGTGTGCACTTCCACTCAACACCTATATGGGAAGGGGGGCTGTTAGGTCAAAAAGAGTATTCCAAACTTCTTGCATTGGTGTGTCTGTTGAAAATACTTAATGGAAAATTATAAGAGTTATGTCAGACTTGAATTTTACATATATTTATTAGGAATTCACTCCTATTCAGGTCCGTAGGACTGATTTCCATTCAGTGAGTGTTGGAAGATTTTGGGCAGCTAGTATAGTTAGACTAATCAACAAATAAAATTAGTTTAAAATACAAATTATAGCAAGAATACTATCTTAGGCTAATACTAAACATTGCAAGGAAAAGTCTGAGAATTCTGCATAAAATAAATGGGAAGTGGAAGTATTACTTAATAATTCATCATATATTAATTCTGAGTTGCAAATGGCCTGTCCTCAGAAATTCTGGCTAATTCAAAACCAGATGGAAGATCATACGGAAGAAAAATGTCCTATGGAAGGACATGGGGACTTTTTTGGGGGGGGGGGAAAGGCTTTTTGGATAAAAGAGGCATTTAGAATTTCTCTCTCCCATCCATGAATTTACTCCTATAAATTTGTCTCAGATACACAGGGTGAGAATCTGTGGGGTAATCAGGCTGACAGAAATGCCTATCAAAACAAAGCAGAATGAATGTCAATGCTGAAACTAATAAATTTGCTGGATCAAATACCTACAAGATTGTCTTTCTTAGCTAAATCTGGCCTGTCCTGTACCTTCTTTGAGGGAGAGTATGCTGAAGATTCCCACCTTGCGGGCCTTGAGAATGGAGGATGCCTCCTGAAAGATGAAGTGCTCCCAAACTTTTGCTTTGAAGAAGGCACTGCAATCCTAGCTTTTCCTCAGGTTGTTTGGGCACTGAGGGTAGAACCCTAATTTAGTTAGGTGTGATAATGGTTTTACTTTCTTTGTTCTAAATGTAAACCATCTTGAGTCTTAGCAGGCAGAACAGAAAGGCATGAATGAATGGTTAAATAAATAAATAGGGCTTCATCCGTTTGAGGTGGAGGCTATTCTCTGGTTGATAAAGAGAGTCTGAAATGGTCAGAGCAGGAGTTTCTAACTTTTTGGATTCAGTGGACACATGGTTTTCTGAGAACATGGCACAGACAACTCTTACACAATAAGAGGCATGAAGGGCATGGCTGATGACAATATTCATTTACCAGAAGGTAAACGCTGTAGTTTTACCAGCTTCTGCCACTCCCTCTAACCCAAATTATGCTCTCTCCTACTTCAGTTCACTCTGGGTTTTTTTTGGGGGGGGGGGGGGCCGGATAGGCTTGCTTCCAAACAAAACTGAGCTGCAGCCACCCCTCATTTGGGCTTTATAAGATGCCTCTGGGGTCAATGTGAGACACAGATACACTTTTTAAATTAAGAATAATGGTTGAGGTTGGCACTTTGTTTTATAGAATACTGGCTTAATTAAAAGAACCTTTAAAAACCCATAGGTAAATCATGAAGCTTGAAGATTGTGGTGCTCATGTATGCCATGTTAGGGGTCCAAGATTCAGAGAATTGCCTAAATTCTTCTTTGAAAAGAATGTGGTTGGAATGTGTGGAGAGAATTGTAGATCATTTTAAATTGCAAGAGAGAGATGCCACTTCTGAGTGCTTCATCTACATTTGAAATTCCTTGCAAATAGAAAACAAATACATCATAGAACAAAGTTAACCTAGCTCTTGTCCTTTGAGCTGTTTTTTTTTTAATTGATAAGATTTTTTTTCACCTAGGAACACATTTAAAATGAGATGTAAGGAGAGCTCTCTGGACCCCAAGACAAGCCTCTCAAAATAAATAATTTGCTGCTATCTAGTGGGCATCTGGATTTTTGCACCTCAGACATGGTTTACCTATTTCCTCCCCTCTCATTCCTTTGCATTCCTGCCTGTCCAGTTAAGTTTGTAGAAGGCATGGGGCAGGGAAACACAGTGGGCCCCTGGGCCCCAAGGCAACTGCTTCCCATCTTCACAATATTTACATCACTGTCATTATTTCAAAATGTTGCCGCTACATTCTGCTGTATTTGTAGCCCAGTCTTCCATCAATTCTTCACAGAAGTGTCTGCTGTCAGAGGAGGAAGCAGCAGAAAAATGTAAACGGTTAGAAGGATTAGGTGCACTCCCAGTTTGTACATACACTTCACGTTAATCAAAATTTATGACAGAGATTAGTTTCTTGGTTCCTTCCTGGAATGCTCTCACCTGGAACATTATTGTTATAAAACATTAATGGACATGAAAAGCAACTCTGAAACAAATCTACCAGATCCATAACATGCAAGGGTGTCTTATATACTGAATATACAGGGGGAAGTGTCACTAGATTATAAATTCTCATAATTCTGTGTGATGGAAAAGATATATACTGTAAAAGCCCAGGAACTCTAGAATGCAATCATTTGTCCATAACTTTCTCTGGATTCTCCATAAAAGCAGAGTGAACAAAGAAAAAAAACTCAGAAGAAATAACTAGTCTGGAAGCACTCTATGGAACAGTGTTCCAAAACTGACCTTCTCACTTTTAGGTGCTAGTTTTATTAAAGCAAACTGACAGTGCAATTCTATGCAAGAGAAGCTTGCTGAAAGGTAAAAAGCTGCCAGCCGGAATCACTTAAAAAGTATCTTATATGGGTATATGGGTTGTTTATAGGGCAGATCCACTGATATGTGTATATGAGTTGCTTAATAGGGCTGATCCACTGATCATCTTTTGACAATGTCTTCTGTTCTACTCTCTACCCCACCCCAACCCACCTAAAATTGTGCAGGTGATTGCAATTGTGATGGATCTCTTCACAGATATGGAAATACTCAGTGATTTGATGGAAGCTTCAAACAAACGTCATGTTCCTGTTTATCTGATCCTTGATGAAAAAAACTTGAAGGAGTTTACAGAAATGTGCAATAAAATGGAGCTCACTGTGGATGACTTTCCAGTATGTTTCCAATCAGTTTTAGTTTTTTTACTTAATGGCAATATTAAAATATCATGCAATGAAACATGAAAATGAAGAAAAAGGCCATTTTAAATTTGCTTTGATTTCAACCATTCTCATAATCACTCAGATGAACATGAGTTGGTTTGTTCAGCTAAAGCTAATAATTCACATCAGAATAGGAAAAAAAAAGTAAGATCTTCCTTCCTTCCTAGGGTCCTTGGTAGGCCAGTGAAGGTTTGGAGATTTTTAATGATTCCCAATATCCTTACCAGACATCAGTTCCAGGATGCTCCCTGAGGCATTTTTACCCCTATCTCTGTTGTGGTATGACAGCAATAATACTTTATAGCATATGCAGACACCTTTATTAGGTGGTTGAGTTATAATCCATTTTCTATGTGAAACAGTATGTCTGAAGAAGCACAAGATGCAACTGGATGGCAGGTAAACATTTTAAGTAGGCATTGCCTTTCAAAGAATTATGTACTGATAGAAATTTCATATGTCCAAACTTTGCCTGTCACATGCTTGTTGAACAAACAAAAGCCCAGACCAAAACAGTGCCTGAAGTTAATATATGAACATGAAGGATGGTGTATTAAAAGTAATATGAAAAGTATATGTTTATAGTCTGAAGCTTTAGATCATTGCAGTCAACAAGTGCTAAATGTCCATATTTTTACCCTTGTGCTTCAGTAAAAAGGAGATGAAAAACTGTACATTGCTTTCATCCAAATATTGTAACTGACCAGTTGAGGCAAAATTAAAGATGGCACAGAGACTCATTTGCTTAAATCCAGGCCTGCCACCTTTATATGTACATATGGAGTGAATTATACTTCTGATGTTCAAGCACAATTGAGAGAAAGATGCCTTGAGTATAAGACTGTACTCAAACAGACTGGGAGTGTCCACAGGTGTGCATGTGTGTAGGAGGGGCAGGTGTTAAAAAAGTCCAAATGGCTGTCATGATCACAGCTACCACTTCCTCTTACTCTATTTGTACCCTGGTTGTTGTTGTTGTTTGCTATTTCTGTTTAAAAAGGCAAGGGAATGTGTATGCATTGATATTATTTGTGTGTAAGAGCAAAAATGTTTGGTTTATACAGATGGGAGATCAATTAATTTTATTATTAGGGGACCATATTTTACGAACAATTTTAATCAGTTGTTTTATAGACACACACACCCTCATACAGGGGAGGAGGAATCTCTGGGATTGTTTTCCTGGAGTAGCAAACCTAGGTTGGGAAGTGAAGCATTGCTTAGGATTTGGATTTATATTGCAGATTTTTTCAGTCCGCCTTTAGTTGGGTAGGAGTTATTTTCAGGGATATCTTCCTTTTGAGTAACTATGGCATTTGTCAATGTGAGTATAAACCTATACTTGTACTAAGTACTCTATTATACAAGGAGTATCTTATTCCATCACCTCAACCCCCGCCATTTGAAAGTTATTGTCATTTTGTCTGTTATCAGTAAATGTACAATAATCTCCCATTCTTCCAGAGCAACTGCAGCTTTCAAATATCGAAATAAGGGCTGGAAATTAGTGAAATGATACCGGTTTCTAATTTTTCATCATCAGAGACCCTGGGAACTCTACTACATGCCCATCAACATTTTACTTAATGCTTTCCAAACTCCCTCTGCTACTTAATTTTATTTTTCTGATTCTTTTAATTACAAATAATGGGGAAGCACATCTGCTGCAAAGTGAAGCACCATCCTTGAGCATAACCTGCATTTCTAACAATGTATCTAGAGCTCTCCTCTCTCCTCCCCCCAACTTTCTTAGGAAATAAAGAAATAAAATCATGGGGGGCTCAATTTGCCTTCTGATACGTGGCTATTTTGTGACTGACTGCATCCACCTTAACAACCGTTTTGTGAGAGAGCCCATATCAAACTCTCAAAATTCCAAATTATGTCCATTGCTCCCAAAAGGTGGTTGTTGTTGTTGTTCAGTCGTTAAGTCATGTCCGACTCTTCATGACCCCATGAACCCTATCGCGCCAGGCCTTCCTGTCCTTCACTGC